AACCAGCCAGTGAGAATGTATTTGGTGACGTCTTCACAACTGAAGTCTTCTGTGCTATGTACCTGTGCGCTACAGGGGAGGAGAATCTCTAGACCGTTTTGTTTTTTTCCTCCTTCTTCCCTTCCTGCCTTTTCTTCTCCCATCCTCCCAATAAATACACAAAACAAAAGTCCTGTGTGGACTCTGGAACTGCCCCACCTGATTTGAATCCAGGCTTGGCCCTAACACCTGGACAAGTTGCTTTACGTTCTGTGTCTCAGTTTCCTGATCTGCAAAATGGGAATGAGCACCGTTCCTACCTCAGGGAATTATTATCAATTTTAAATGAGTCAACGCATGGAAAACACTTAGGGTGCCTGGCGCTACGTCAGTATTAGTGACCATTAAACCAAAATCATATGGGTCATTCTATCCTGGAGTAACTGTTAAGAAAAAGGATTTTAGAATATTTTAGAATGCTGCATTCTGAACTATTACTTTTTCCATGTTTTCACAGTAAAAAAAAAAAAAAAAATTCTAGTCACAATTTTGGGTGGAAAGGCTCAGCTTTAATTAGAGAAAATATCCTATGCAGTTTCCCCCAAGTTTCAGAGAAAGTAGAAAGTTATTCTATTCTGTATGTGGCCGGAGAAAGAATAACTCACCTCCTGAACATTGTGTACGCCAAGCACTGCGATGCATGCTTAACACTTTAAGCTGTAAAAATCTCATGAGTTTGTTCCAATACCCATTTTACAGGAGAGTAAAAAGGCGTGGAGAGGTGAGGAAACTTGCCCAAGTTTAGGAAGTGGCTGGACTCAGTGTGTCCAATTCCTGAGCCGACCTGGGCACCTGCGTATGCTCTGCCTCCCTTGTGGTTGCTGAACAGAGCAGGGGAGAGTTAGTTTATTATCATTTTAATCATGGTATCTGTTAGGGTCAATATTTTAGTAATGCATTTCCTTTCAAAGGCAGTTTTAATGTTGACAAATGTCTGCTTCTAAGTCAGCTGGCCAAAAATAAGGAGCAAATTTATGATTTCTTGTTTTCTATGGTTCCATTCAGATTTACTGCACAAAACTTTCTTTTATAGCTGTAAAACCACCAAAGTTCTTCACTGAGCTTGACGGTAACTTACCTGATTAAGCGAGAGCAGGGAGAGCCCTGGTCCTTGAATTTCTAGCTGCTCTCTAATTCCATTCCAGGAGGGACCATAAGAGAGGCCTCATCTGATTCGCTTGGCATGAGTCTCAAGTATGTAAGAGGGTGACTTTGAACTTCTCGTTGTTCTTAGATCATGATGCTGAAGTAATTCAAGCATCTATAGTAGAGTATGGCAGGTAGTTCACACCTTAGTTCTTCAGCCTCTGGTGGCTGTGGGAGCTGCGGCTTTGTCATCCTTCCTGGAAGCAACTGTTAGTCACATCTTAATCCTGAGCCACACATTCACGGCCATTTGAGTGAAGCAAATTTGACAGCAACACTGAGTCAATAATCTCAATCTTGACTTTCAAGACAGAACTAGTAAACAAACTAAATCATATATTGTTTATTATCTATTATTTTAAAAAGTCCCCAATAAGTAAATCTTTAAAAAATTATTTATTATCCCACATATTTTAAGTTGTTCATTATTCTTTAGACTCCTAATATTGTTACAGCTTTGGAAGTTAGAAGAAAAAATATCTTTCTACTATAGAATGTTGCAATTTTATTTAATGGAAAAAATATTTTCTTGCTATTCTTATTCTTCTGGAAGAAAATGTTCCACTGAATAATTGATGCTTCTAAAATGAAGTCTTGTGTTTTTATGATAGTATAATAGCTTCATTATCTAAGTAAATGTTAGACATTCCTGAATATTAACTATTTTCATGTGATAAATATTTTGAATATAGAAAAACTCAGCCCACCTGATGGTTCTCAGGTGAAATTCAGACCGTGATTTATATAGAACCAGAGATAATTGCAGATGGTAGAACTAATAGCAACATGCAAATCATCAACTCTTAAGAACTTTTTGAAGGTCTTTCCATGGTTTTGGTCAACTAAAATAAGATGTAAAGCTGAAATTTAATTATGTAATTTGGGATGGTGAATGTATTATTATATTTTCACACTTTTTAAAAGAATTGAAACAAATACAGTCACTTATGATTGTGTAACCTTTGTTTTGATTTTGTATAAAATAAAATATTAATTGCATTGTTTTTCATGACAGAGGGTCAAAATAAAAGCACAGTGTCCCCTAGTATTTCATATCCAGATCCGAAGTTCCTGCTTCTAAAATGTATGATTGGCTTGAAATTATGTAAATACCCTCATACTACTGACTTATACTTTAAAAAAATTCTTTCTGAAGATTCCATAGCAGCTTTTTGTTATCTGAGAATAATTAGAACCAGAAAAAGGCCATTTAAAGTGAATGCAGTTAAGTGGGAACCAAAATTTTATAACATGATGAAAAAAAGCTTTGGGACTTTATCTTACTCCCCAAAAAACACAAAAAAAATTATGAAAATAAATTTATTTTAGTTTATATTTAATGAAATTTAAATGATCATTTTGACCACAGCTCTTTTAGAATGCGCAATGCAAGAATCAAATTTTGATTGTTTTGAGAGAGTAAATTTTTGGACAAAATTGTTGGATAGTATGCTCTGGTGCTTTTAAAGTCATGTTTGACATTGCATTATATCTTCAAGATGGCCAGTTTTATAAAAATATTCGAGGTCTTAGTCATTTTTCTTTGTGACTTTTAGATTCTTTAGTATTAAACTCCTTCCATGTTGAAATTTTTGTCTTGCCATTAACTTAAAATTTTTCTCTTAAATGATTGTTTTCTCATCAGACTGCTAAGTCACCATTTGCCATTGTTTTACCTGTTATTGGGCACGTTTTCTAATGTCATTTTGATTAACCTCATGAAATTCTGAATTTGGGGGGCAAGATTTGCGATTTCAGTTTGCAGTGGATATCTGTCATTATGTGGGAGGTGCAAGACACTGATAGACAGGCTCGGGCTGACAGGCTCACACTGATTGTGAACAAGGACAGTGTCTTGGGTGGGGATTCAGGTCATAAAATGTTTGGTTAGTAGGAAATACGCAGTGTTTTGAAGGCATGTTTCTCTGGAAAAGCTCCTAACTAAATAGGGCTTTGGATAATGGCTTCTCATGTAACAAGAACCCTGATTTATTTGCATGTGTCCCCTGTAGTCTGCTCTGTAGGGGACAGATTCACAAGTGGGGAGATCCCCGTGCTTGTCTCCGTTCTGCCAGTGAGGAGTTATATGAGCGCTTCATGTCTTTTGGTATAAATTTACTAATCTGTGAAATGAAAAGGTTGAGCTAAAGTCCCTTCTAGTCACAGCATTCTGTGATTGATATTTTAAGCCTGGCAAGAGCTTTATTACTCTGTTTTCATAGACTGCTATAAGTTAATAGTCATCAACCAACTCCTTTTAGTTTTTTCAACTATATATATGTATATTATATATAAGTTATATATATATATCATATATATCCATATTAATCATTCTTCTGGTAAATTTGTAATCAACATTTTGGAACAATTTTACATTCTGCTCTTTTTAATAGTGTTATTTCTTATATAAGTGTTTTCCTATATACCGTAATCTAAATAGCTTTCTCTTTTTCACATTTATCCGTTCTAATAGCTGCTTATTAGTCTATTGAGTAAATGTGTGTACACATATATGTGTGTGTGTGTGTATACATATACATATACATACACACACACACACACAGAATGTGTGTACACATACGTGTGTGTGTGTATGTGTGTGTATACATATACATGAACATACACACACACACACACACACACACACACACACCCCAATATATCCTGGCAACTGAGCATCTCTGTACTTCAGAGTTTTGGGGAATTAGGGGGCCATGTTACCATAGACATCTCTTTAGGTAGACAATTTTGTCAAAAGAGCTTCTCACACATGTAGCACAGTTCTGTGTGCCTTTCAGTCTTTAAGGGCCTTTTGCTGCTGCTATAAACAGGAAGAAACAAACTAAGGCAAAGCATCTGGCTGAGTGAAGCAGGGGGAGGAACAAGGAAAACTGGAAGAACATTGTGTTTTGCTGCTGCCCAGCAGGGCAAAGAGATCCTGGGGAGCCTGGTGTGAAATAGCAAGGGAAGCAGGGAGGGCTCGGAAGCCCTTGCTCTGGATGTGGCATCTTCAGGTGCCCGGCTGACCCTGCCACACTATACCTAGTATCGGATCACCTGGGAAGGCTGGTGGCCTTTGGCTCCTGATGTTGCACTCAGCTGGTCCAGAGAACAGAGCCAGAAGGGAAACAATCTCCAGGAGCAGATGTGTTCACAGCAGGAAAGCATCCACAGAATGAGTCTGCTAATCCAACATTATTAAAAATTGCAGCACTTTTCATTTTATTTCAAGATCTTGGAGATTTTCAATGCGTCCTTGGGGAATAATAGCTTGTTCATCCATTATAATTGGATTTGCTACCTCTTATCAAGATAAAGGAAGCATACTTGGCACTTTTCCCTTCCTACTTGTAATATGTAATTTGGTCTGTGGCTGTTGTTGTACCCTCTGCATATGCGGGTGAACTGTTTGCAATGCTTGTTTGACATAACTTGCCACAATTTCTCGCTTTTATTGGGTAAGAAAGAGAACTATGCGTTGATGAAATCCAGGGTAACCTGCTGTTTACAGTAGCTAATGGCAAATGTTTCCATTTAAATCAGGTTAAAACAGGTATGATCAAGGCAATGTTAGTCGTGATTTAAATTGCCAACTAGAAGAAAACTGGAGAATTATAGAGATTGCATGTCAATTTCAAATTTCACCGTGCTAGGTCATATGGGAATGAGGGATACTGACAAAGTAAGACGAAGTCCAGTATTTTCAGAGGTTTACTTAAACACAAACTAATTTGGTCCATCTCATGTAAGTACATGTTTCTCAGCTTTGGAAGTTACATCCTATAGTTTTTAACCTTTTTTATTTTTCCTTTCAGACTTCAGCTACATTGAAGACTGGTTGTTTTCCACAACTAGAGGAGAAGCCCTTGAAGGGATGGTGACTTCTTTTTGAGTTCGAGTAGCAGAAGAAAAGGTAATTAATTATTGATGGTTTCAGAATGCGTTTGCCATACTGTTGTGGAGGCCAGCTGCAATAGTAGCAAACAAAAAATGAGAGGTTGGATATTTTCTCTCACAAAGAAAAATAACTGATACTATTCTGATTTAGTTACGTGATTATTCTATAAACGAAACTTAGCATACTCTTCTTAAATAAGCTTTCCCAGGTAGGTCTATCCAAGGATTAAGGTGTGACCCACCTAAGCAATTTACTCCTTTTTCTAAGACCGTGTCCTCGAGAATGTCTCCCGTGCCTGTTCTGTGCGACCTCCCATGTTTAGAGAGAGAATATGAGAATCTAAGACATAAGTCATGGACAGACGTTTAAAGTATAGGGACTCATTTTAATCACACATAAATTTGATAACTCTTAACAACAGCTGCCTTATCCCTTTTCCTGGTCTCAGCTCACTTAAGCCATGACAACTGATGGCCTCACTGTGACCAGTTCTTTCTTTGGCTGGGCTCCAGGACCAGTTCCTCTCTCCCAGCCACCTAATCCTAAATCTGGTTATCCTCTCCAGGTCAGAATTTTTTACCTGATGCCCTCAGTTCTTCTGTTTTCCAGAACTCTAAGCCAGAAGCTCAGGTATCAGCCATTAGCTCATTTAGGAGTTCCCAAAAGATCATCTTTCTAAAATCTGTTCACAGTATTTTGTTCATAGAGACAATCACCAT